TTCATATATAATTGTAAGGGTTCCCGATACCCAAAACAACCTTGGAAAAGAACAAAGTTAGGAGATCCCTGGTTGGCGCAGTGGTTTAGCGCCTGCCTTTGGCCCAGGGCGTGATCCTGGAGACCCGGGATCGAATCCCACGTCGAGCTCCCTGCATGGAGCCTGCTTCTCCCTCTGCCTGTGTCTCTGCCTCTCTCTCTCTGTGTGTGTGACTATCATGAATAAATAAATAAAATCTTTAAAAAAAAAAAAAAAAAGAACAAAGTTAGAAGACTCACACTTCCTGATATCAAAACTTACTAAAGGCTTACATAACCAAGACAGAGAGGCACCAGGATAAGAATAAACATATAGATCAGTGGCACTAAATTAAGAATCCCTAAATCCATACATCTATGGACAATTGACTGGCTTTTACTGAATAAATTTGACAAATAACATTGCATCTGCTTAAGTAGTGTATATTACTATATTTACATATTGTAATATTATGAACAATTAATATGTCCAAGACCATCTAATGAGGAAAGAATAGTCTTTTTAACAAATGGTGTTTGGACAACTGTATATTCACAGCAAAGGAATGAAACTGGACCCTTACGTCACTCCATATATAAAAATTAACTCAAAACAAGCCAAAGATCTAAATATAATAGCCAACACCATAAAACTCTTAGAAAACAAAATAAAAATAAATCTTCATAACCTTGGATTTAGCAATGGTTTCTTAGACGACACCAAAAGCACAAGCAAAAAGGGAGAAAAAAAGATAAATTGGACTTCATCAAAATTAACAACTTCTGTGTATCAAACGATATATCAAGAAAGTAAAAAGATATCCCACAGAATGGGTAAGATTTCTACTAACCATGTATCTGATAAGGGTATAGTATCCAAAGTATATAAGCTCAACAACAAAACACAAACAATTCAGTTATAAATGAGCCAAGGACAGGCACCTGGCTGGCTCAGTTTGGAGCATGTGATTTTGGATCCCAGGGTTGTGAGTTCAAACCCATGATAGGTATGGAGATTACTTAAAAACAAAATCTTTAAGGGGTGCCTGGGTGGTTCAGCTGGTTAAGTATGGGACTCTTGATTTGGGCTCAGGTCATGTGTGATTAAGCCCCATGCTCAGTATTGAGTCTCCTTAAGATTCTCTCTCTCCCCCTACCTCCACCCCCCAGTGCCCCCCCACCCCACCACGCTGGTGCCAGCTCACATGTGTGTGCTCTGTAAAAAGAAAAAAAAAAGATAATTTTTTTAATATTTGAAAAATAAAAAAATAGAGGTGCCTGGGTGGCTTAGTACGTTAAGCATTTGCCTTGGGCTCAGGTCATAATCCCAGGGTCCTAGGATTGAGCCCCATGTCAGGTTCCTTGCTCAGTGGGGAGTCTGTTTCTTCTTTTCCCTCTGCCCCTCCCCCTGCTCATGCTCTCTCTTTCTCTCAAATAAATGAATAAAATATTAATAAAAAATAAAAATGAGCAAAGGAGTTAAGATTTTATTATTTATTTATTTGAGAAAGACACAGAACATGGCAGGGGGCAGCGGGGAGGGGCAGAGGGAGAGAATCTCAAGCAGATTCCTGAGCACAAAGCTGTACAGGGCTCTATCTCACAACCCTGAGATCATGACCTGAGTAGAAACCAACAGTCAGAGGCTTAACCAACCAAACCATGCAGGTGCCTCAAAGGATTTAAATAGACATTTCTCCAAAGATATACAAATGATCAAAAAGCACATGAAAAGACATTCAACATCACTAATCATTTGGGAAATGCAAATCAAAACCACAATGAGATATAACTCCACACTCATTAAGATGGCTACTATTAAAACACAGAAAACAAGTGCTGGCAAGGATGTGGAGAAATGAAAAATGTGTGCACTGCTGGTGGGAACATAAAAAGGGTTGGTGACTATGGAAGACAGTATGGCTGTTTTTCAGAAAGTGAAAAATTATATTACCATAGGATCCATCAAAGCACTCCTGGGCATATACCCAAACGGAATTTAAAGCAGAGCCTCAAAGAAATATCTGCATATCCATAAGTCCATAGCAGTATTATTCACAAAAACCAAAAGGTAGAAACAATGCAAATGTCCATAAGCAGATGAAAGGATAAAGAAAATGTGATACATATAGGCAATGGAATACTATCCAGCCTTAAAAAGGAAAGAAATTCTGTCACATACTACAACATGGATGAACCATGAGGACGTTATGCTAAGTGGTATAAATCAGTCACAAATATATAAATTCTCTATTCTTGTCTAAGGAATCTAGAATAGTCAAATTCACAGAAGCATCAAGAGGAATGGTAGTTGCCCGAGACAAGGGGGAGGGGGAGGGTATTGAGGAGTAGCTGTTTACTTTGTAAAGAGTTTCAGTTTGGGAAGATGAAAAAGTTCTGGAGCTTACTTGCACAGTAATGTGATACACTTAACACTATGGAACTAAACTATATAAGATGGTAACTTTTATGCTATATGTATTTTACCACAACTTAAAAGTTTGTTTACAACAACTGTTAAATAACTTTTTTAAATCAAAAAAATGGGCCAAGTACTCAAATAGACATTTCTCCCAAGATGATGTACAGATGGCCAACAAAAAACATGAGAAGATGCTCCAACATCACTAGTCATCAGGGAAATGTAGATCGAAACCACACAAGATACTGCCTCATACCTACTAGGACATTGATCATTAAAAAATAAAAGAAGTATTAATGAGGTTGTGGAAAAAGTGAAACCCTCACACACTGGCAGTGGGAAAACATTTTCACCCTTCCTCAAAAAGTTAAGCTCAGAATCCGCATGTGATGGGACTAATACATTCCTAGGAATTGAAAAACAGGTGTTCAAACAAAAAAGTTTGCATAAATATTCACAGCAGCACGATTCACAATACCCAGGAGGTTAAACAACCCAAATATCCATCAACAGGTAACTGGATAAACAAAATGTGGTATATCCATGTAATGGAATGTTATCTGGTCCTAAAAAGGAATGAAGTAGGGGCAGCCTGCGTGGCTCAGCGGTTTAGCGCTGCCTTCAGCCCAGGGCATGATCCTAGAGACCGGAGATCGAGTCCCACATCAGGCTCCCTGCATGGAGCCTGCTTCTCCCTCTGCCTCTCTCTCTCTCTCTCTCTCTCTCTCTCTCATAAATAAATAAATAAAATCTTCAAAAAAAAAAAAAGAATGAAGTACTGACATATGCTAGAACATGGACAAACCTTGAAGACATATGCAAAGTCAAAGTAGCCACTAAAGGCCACAAATTATATGGCTGAATTCACATTCAATACACAGAAGAGGCAAACCCCCCAAAAAAACAGAAAGCAAATTCATGGTTGCCAGAGGCTGGAGGAGGATGAGGCAGAGAATGGGGCAGGACTGCTAATGGGCACAGTGTTCCTTCTGGAGTGATGAAAAGGTTTTGGAAATACAGAGAGGCAATGATTGCACACCATGTGAATATCCTTAATTCCACTAAATTGCACAGTTTAAAATGGTTTAAATGGTATGTGATGTGTATTTTACCACAATAAAAAAATTAATAAGGATGTACAAGACTTGCATGACACAAAGAAAAGACTTGACCTTATCTACACATACAGAACATGACAAGCAACAACTACAGAATGGACTTTCTTTTCAAGCCCACATGAGACATCTACTAAAATTGTCCATCTGAAGAACATGTGCCCACCCCCTCTGCCAGCCCCTTTACAGCCTCCCTCTCTGACCAGGGCTGTTTGTGGGGCCCTAGCAGGCCCCACATTCCTGAGATGCCCACATCCACCTGGCACTCCTCTCAAAAGAGCAGCAGAGTGCAAGGGGAAAAGCACAGAGCCGGGCAAAGCTGCTCCCTTTGAGGGCCCTTGGAGAGCTTGCAGGAACTGCAGCCAGGCCCCGGGAGAAGCACCATCTCCTTAAGCCACAGGAAGTGTATGATGCTGAACTTGAGAGTTTAGTGAGGAGGCCCTGACACTTAGTGTTGTATTAATTCTCTCAGTTCTCCCCAGGACACTTGTCAGAAAATCACTATTCCCACCTCAAAGACACAGAACCTGATACCCAGAGAGTCCCAACGTCTTGCCCAGCATCACAGAACTTCCACATGGGGGCAAAGATAGGATCTGAAGTTGGGTCTGTCCTAGCTCTTTCTTCACTCTATATGCCCTGGGCTTTCCCAGTTAACTCCAGAACCAGACTTGCTGGTCTGTTGTCCCCATGAGTTGATGAAAGATCCCCAACCCAGCAGAGGGGCTCTGGCCACCTCTAAGTCAGCAATGACAGGGCTGTGATGCGTAGGGAGGATGAGGTGATGGGAACACAGAGGGGGAACATGGAGATGGGGGTATCTAGGCTCACAGGGCATGCACACCACCAGCTACACTTACCACCTGAGGGAGGGCAAGGGAGCCCGAAGAGGGGGGATCCCCGGAGCAGATGAAGGAAAGAAGAAGGGGTTACTGAGTCACAAGCAATACTGAGAAAGCCCAGGGCTGAGACAGCATAGCCTCATAGCCTGGGGCTCACACTTGTCACTTCACTGTTTGCGTGGTGGTGGGTAGGGGTGACAAGAATGCCTCTTGGGGGCGACCTACCATTCATTGGGTAGGGGCTGCCCGGGGCAAGACATTATAGCAGTCCACATTGAGACTTGCAGGACAGGAGGAGGAAGAACAGGAGATCTTTTAGCAATCAATGCCTGGAGTCAACACAGCTTGTGGGGGGAGGGGCACATCTTATTTAGCAAACCTTAATTGCCCTGTGCCTCAGCTGTTCTCACTGTACTGCTGCGGGTCTTAGGTAGATAAACTAAGATAGGTCCAAGTCTAGAAGCCAAGTTGCCCAACTCCCAAGTCTACTTAAGGAGCCATGGCCAGCAAGCAAGTGTCAGGAGAGGGGAGAAAGGGCAAGCCCCAGGACCAAATGCGGGGGATCAGTGAAAGCACATGCCCCTGTCCAGCCTCCCCAACTCACATGTCCGTGCAGGTCCGTGTTGAGCAGCATCAGAGCACAGGTGAGTGTGTGGATCCCATCTAAATCAGAGATGGTGGCACCCTCAGTGTGAGGACCCAGTCCTCCTCTAAACCCCACCACCCAACTGTCTCCTAACAGAGCCAACCCAGAGGTCTTGGAGATAGGAAGGGCCAGCCACCAGCCAAATGCACCTGGGGGCCCAGGACCTGTGAGAGGCTCGCTGCCCCACCCTCAGCACCAGAGTCATTGCCTGTCCCTGGTCAGAACCAACCCCTCCTTCAGAGGGGACCTGAGCACCCTGGCCGTGCTATAGACCATACTCCTGCCTCCTGTGACCAAACTCATCTTGACACTCAGACCCGGGAGTGGCTCTGGGTCCTGGACTATGTCCCTACCATGGCCCATGTTTTCTCCAATAACTGGCCTCATCCCCCATGTCCTGGGACTTGGGTCCAGCCACAGCTAAAGTCCTGCCACTAAATGGGCTAAGAGGCCTCCACCCAGATCTCCACACCAGGACTCTCACCTCACCAAAAATCAGCATTAGCAATGGGGACTGGGGGGAATAAAAGCGCAAAAGACTGAATCTAGGACAGAGGATTTCCAAGCACAGAGAATGACCACAGGCAAGACATTTGGAAGGACTCTGGTCCAGCAAGCAGACCCCATTTCATGTGCCCTAATTCCTGTACTCCATGTTTACTGAGCGGGATAGAAGTGGTCATTGGTGGCGGGGGGGGGGGTGCAGCTAGGAGGAAGCTGGGGCCCCTATGGAGCAGCAGGCAGGGCAGGCAGAGGGCGTACCTTCCGAGGTGCTGTCCTCTGGGTTGCATTGACAGTACCGGCGAGAGAAGTGGGTAAGGACCCGCTCACGCTCCTGTGTCTCCCCCATCAGTGGGAAGGCCTTCAGGAAGGTTCTGGAGGACAATTCAAGGATGGTGAAGACCTCCTAGAGTCCCTAAGTCAGTAAGGATCCTCACCCAGGTCAGGAATCCTGCCGCCCCTCACCCCGGCCCCAGGTACCACATAAACCCACTGGAGTGGCCCAGGGCTCCAGTGCCCCAGCATCTGGGCTGAGGAGGACACCCTGGCTGCCAGGACAGCTTCTAGAGGGTGGAGGCTAGGGGGCTTTAGAATTTCAGCCCTCAATGCCCTCCAAAAAGTAGGCAGGGGACAGAGTGTGAAGAGTAAAGACAGATGAACACCTCGGTGAGGCCATCAGCTCTTGTTCAGGATAAATGCCCACTTCTCTCTCCCTCCTCTCTGGCCACACCTGCCCTTCAGGCTGTCCTCCTCAGTCACTGCTGCTCCTCACTGAATGTGCCACCAGCCGAGCCCCAGGCCCCCACTTTGGCCTCCTTAACTCTTCCCCCATCCCAAGTCTGAACTGTCAAAGTTTCAATGGCTTGTTCTTCACTCCTTATCTCAAACCCTCCTCTCCTCTGCCCTCATCATATACCTGGGACACTCACAGCAGCCTCCAGACAGGTGCACCACTGCACCTCCCCAGTACATCCTCCCTAAAGACACTAGGCAGCATTTCTGAACACACATGCAGTTGAGACTCACCCTTGCTTAAAACCTATCATTGGCTCCCCAGAGCACTCAGGATACCAGCCAAGAATCTCATGTTCTGGCCTTCCCAGAACATATTCCCACCCCCCTCCTGTCCCTCCAACCTCACCCCCACCTGCCTTCCACACCAGATTTACACCCTGTACAGGACAGGCACTTTCACTGTGCCATGCCTCTGGGCAAGCTCTGACCTCCTCTTCTGGCCCACTTCAAAAGCCACTGGCTCTCAGGGACTCTGGGAGTTAATCCCAAAACCACAGGGGCTGGAAGATGGGGCTTAGGCACACCTCTTCTTGGGAAGAAAACCTACAAACTGAGCAAATTTGAGTATCTACCTGTCCAAGGTACATGAGACTAGTTCATTCCTAATTTTGCTATGGTTCATTTGGTTTCTGGAAAGCCCAGTTTATGTTCTCATGCTGCTCCTAAGGCACTCTGGGACCTGTGAACCCCTCTCGGCCAGCTCTTCCCTTCTGAGGCCTCCCAAGGCATCCAAAACTACAGACCACGCTCTTCATCAATCCTAGAGAGTCAACTGCCACCCAAAAACACACCATCTGCCATCTAAGTTCCCCCCTTTCCCTGCGCTGGTCTCTCCTGTTTCCTGTTCTCTTCCTCCAATCTGGCACCCAGCTCTGCACCTCCCTTCTCTAACCACGCTCCATGAGGACTTTTAAAATTCCACCCCCCAAATAAATAAATAAACAAACAAACAAAAATCCATCCCACATCCCAGCCTTGACCTGTCCTACCTACAAGCCATCCATCCCAGCTCCCACTTCCCATTCCAAATACCCCTTCCCCAGGGGTCCTCACCAATCCCCAATCCAACACACCCACCACCAAACTCTCAGCGGCCCCCAGAATCAGCCTCACCACCACCTACCCTCTACCCTGCACTTTGGTACCACCAATCCCTCGACCTAATCCTCTGGATGACCCCTCACATCAATTTTGCCTCTAGCCTCACTGCCCAACCTCAGGGCTGTCCTCTCTCACCAAACCCTCTTCAGAAGCCTGCACATCTCCAGATAAAAGGCCATCAGCACTACCCCTCAAACTACTGCTTTATATCTAGCACCTTCTGTGGCTCCCCAGTGCCTGTACAGTTGAGCCTATCTACTAGAATGGCAAACAAGTCTCCAGCGTCATACCCAGGCCTCTGACCGTGACCTGACCCACCGAACATCTCCAACCCATCCTCATCCCAATGCAAACTTCAGACCCAGCTCAGGATAGAGCATCTTGCAGCAGACCAACATTTACCCTGAGACTCTGAGATAATCCCGACAGAATACAGTTCTCTGAAGCTTTCAGGAAGCCCCTGATGCCACAAAGACCACAGGGCCAGAATTGTTGAGAGGAGAGAGCTGAGGTGAGGGGTTCATCTACAGCTGCTTTTTCCTTGAGGGCACTGCTAATTTGGGGGAAAGGCAAGAGGCAGAACACTTGGTGGCTTCACAGAGCTGAAGACACAGACCTAGAGACCTGGGGAGCTATGCCTACACACCCAGTTTTCCCTTTGAGACATTGGCCAAATTCTCAAGATGTGAAGGGCAGGACGCTAAGAAGCTAAGCAAAAAGCCTCTGAGAAGTAGAGGGACTGGGGTTGTTGTGTTTTGTTTTATTGACACTCTTGCCAGATTGAGGAAATGCAATCAGGATTCAGGACCCACCAAAGGGAGAGGCCCCAGTGAACACACTAGGCTTCTAGCAGAAAGCTGTGCAGGCCTCCACCCTGTGATGAAGGATCCTGGAGTTTACCAAACTTTGGTGCAGCCTTTCCTCAGCTCAACTGTGGTCAGATTAGGAGTGCACCCCCTGCCCTCTTCTAACTGCCTAGCAAAGGACAAGGCAAACCCTCGATGGAGGAATATATAATAATCTAGAACCTAATTCTATACAAAATGCACAGCATCCAATAAAAAAAAAATTGGGGGGATCCCTGGGTAGCTCAGCAGTTTAGCGCCTGCCTTTGGCCCAGAGCGCAATCCTGGAGTCCCAGGATCAAGTCCCACGTCGGGCTCCCAGCGTGGAGCCTGCTTCTCCCTCTGCCTGTGTCTCTGCCTCTCTCTCTCTCTCTATCATGAATAAATAAATAAAATCTTAAAAATAAATAAATTAATTAATTAATTAATTAATTAATTAATATTGGTAAGCATGCAGAGAGACCGGACAGGATATATGATGGAAAACCAAAAGAAGAACAAGAGAAACAGATACAGATGATTCAATGATCCAGACATTGGGATAAGCAAGTTGGAAATAAGGACTTTGAAATAACTAGGATTAATATGTTCACAAAGAGAGGGAAAGGTGGAGCAAACAAGTGAACAGATGAGGAACTCCTCCAGAGAATTAGAATCGGTTTTTTTTTTTCGTTTTTTTTTAATTTAACAAAATGAAAATTCTAGAATGGAAAAATGTAATAATAAACAGTAAAAACTCAATAAGTGGATTTGACAGCATATTAGACACAGAACAAGTAAGTGAACTAAAAGCTGGTCAAGAGAAAATATCCCAAGTGAAGTAAAGAAGAAAGAATGGAAATATATATTTTTAAAGTGTAAGAGAAGTGGGACACAATGAGATCTATCATTTGGGGACCACCCCCTACTTAGCTCAGAGATTGCTGTACCCCCACACCCCCAGGGCTGCAGCCTACTGTGGGCCCTGCCTCCAAAGGCTGCTAGACACCAAGCTGCACTCCATTCTACACCCTCCACTCCCTGGGGCCTATACCTGACCCTCCTGAAGACTACTGTCTGCTTCCAAACACCACAAGGACCTGAGATCAAATCCCAGTTTAGCCATCTTCTCCCTCAGTGACTGCAGGAAATCAATCACTTTACCCAATAGCTGGTTCTTTATCTGTGAGCAGCAATGCTGACACCTACCCTACAGGGGTAAGGTTAGGATGAAGTCTGGCAGGGTGTGTAAAAACCTATTGCCTCTAGCAAACAGGCAGTGCTCAATACAAACCAGCCCTTGCCCTTCCCCTCCCAAAACTTCAAGACCACATTCCCACTTTCATATCCTCAGCCCACCACATGGCCGGCACTCACTGAGTTGCTGGACCACTGCTGTGCTCATGCCCTTCTCCATAGCCTTCCCAGGGAGGGTTAAGAGACTTGCCCAAGGTTGCACAGCAAGCTTATGACAGAGCTGTCCTGAGAATCCAGATGTGTGGCCCGTACCACCTCTGGACACCGCCCCATCCCAGCCCCACTGACCTGAGCGCTCGGTCCAGAGTCAGGCCTGAGAAGTCGAAGAAGCTGAGATATTCCCCGGCCACCAGCCTGCTGAACTCATTGCTGTCAGGAGAGCAGGAGGTGTCCATCAGAAGCAGGCACAGCAAGCAACAGGAGGCACATAGGCAGTGACCCTGGGGCACTCTGACCTACCCACCCAACCTGCCCGGCCCTTAAGCTGCCTCCCTGTGTTGATCAGTTGGGCTCTGACAGTTCATCCTTGGGTTGGAGGGTCAGGAAGTCTTCCTAAAGGAAATGACATCTCTGTGAACACCTAGAGGAAAGTAAGAGCCAGTGAGGTGATGGGAGTAGGTGGAGAGATGATGCAGTGTCCCCCGCAGAGGAAAGTGTGCAACACGTCCAAGCAGCTATCAGCAGAGCCATGTGGCCAGAGCAAGAGATGAGGTAGGGAGCAAGTCCTGAGGGCCAAGGGGGAAGGATCAGTAGTGCTCAGGAAGGGTGTGAAGTTGAGTGAGCCCGTCAGAACACTGCCTGCTGAGGGGAGGCCCCTGGGGGCTGCAGCAGCTGTCCCAGAAGACATGGAGAGTTTGGAGAGGAGAGAGATTTCAGAAACAGAATCCACAGCTGATGGAATGGTGCAGCACGTGACACAGGAGATGGGCCTGGGAGGAGGTGTCAGAGCCAGACATCAGGTGGTGCTGCATGTACCCACGGGAGAGACATCAGTTGGCTAATGACTTGGAGGAAGGGGAGGAGTCTAAGCAAGAGGAGGGTGCAAACCCAGGACAGAGATCAGAGGAAGCACCCCCCCCTTTTTTAAAGATTTTATTTATTCATGAGAGATACAGGGAGAGAGGCAGAGACATAGGCAGAGAGAGAAGCAGGCTCCGCACAGGGAGCCTGATGGACTCCACCCCTAGACCAAGATCATGCCCTGAGCCGAAGGCAGATGCTCAACCACTGAGCCACCCAGGAGTCCCAGAGGAAGCCTCTCTTAAAGGCAGAAGCAAACTGAGGAAAGAGAAGGAGCCACTGAAGGAGTCTAAGAAACAGCAGCCAGAAAGAGCTAGGGGGGCACAGTGTCCCGGAGGCCAAGACAGAGTGGTTCAAGATGAGAGTGATGAATTCTTGTTGGAAAAGAGAAATTTCCCCCTGAACTGACCCAAGCCCCAAGCTCTCCCTCCCATTGACAGGAGACATGGGCCTGGAGAAATAGGGAAAGGGTGACATAACTCCATGGGGACACCAAATCCAAATCGTGGAAAATTCTTCCTGACAATCAGCTCTGTTTCTTCAACAGATATATGGCCTTAAGAAAAAGGAAGCAGTCTGGAAGACTATTAATTAAGAGACTTACAAAGAAAAAAAGAGAGAGAGACTCAAGAGACATATTGGCTAAATGTAAAGCATAGGCCTTGTATACATCTTGGTATGAAGAAGCATTTGAGACAGAAAATTATTTTTTTTTAATTTTTATTTATTTATGATAGTCATAGAGAGAGAGGCAGAGACACAGGAAGAGGGAGAAGCAGGCTCCATGCACCAGGAGCCCAACGTGGGATTCGATCCTGGAGCCCGACGTGGGATTCGATCCTGGGTCTCCAGGATCGCGCCCTGGGCCAAAGGCAGGCGCCAAACCACTGCGCCACCCAGGGATCCCGAGACAGAAAATTAAACTTAAGACTAAATGTTAGGGCAGCCCCAGTGGCTTAGTGGTTTGGCGCTGCCTTCAGCCCAGGGCGTGATCCTGGAGACCGGGGATCGAGTCCCATGTCGGGCTCCCCACGTGGATCCTGCTTCTCCCTCTGCCTGTGTCTCTGCCTCTCTCTCTCTCTCTCTCTTGCTCTCTGTGAGTGTGTTTCTCATGAATAAATAAATAAAAATGTTGTAAAAAGACTAAATGTTAGAGATTCTATGGAATTTGGGCTAGTTCTGTTTTAAAAAAATATAATGGAATTATGATTATATTTAAAAATCCTTATTGGGGCACCTGGGTGACTCAAGTCAGTTAAGCATCTGACTTTGGCTCAGGTAATGATCTCAGGATACTGGGATCGGCTGTATCAGGCTCCCTGCTCAGGAGGAAGCCTGCTTCTCCTCCTCCCTCTGTCTGCTACTCCCCCTGCTTGTGCACTCTCTCTCTCTAATAAATAAAATATTTGAAAAAATAAAAAATAAAAATAAAAATCCTTATCAGTGAGAGACACATACTAAAGTATTTATGGATCAAATGATAGAATGCCTAAAATATGCCTTAAAATATTCCAGCAAAATGGGGGGGGTAGTGGATGTTGTTAACTTTGGAGCTAGGTAATGGGTACATGGAGGTTTAATATATTATTTTCTCTGGTTTTATGTATGGTTGAAATTTGCATAATAAAATTTTTAATTAAGGGAAAAGAGAGGAGTAGGGTATGTCTACCATGCTGAGGACAGGTAAGTTGAGGTCTGGTGGCAGGCACTAGATTCAGAAGGCAGAGGATAGGGGAGAAGCTTGCCCCAGGCGACTGAGGAGAATGTGGAGAGGGGAACTGGACGAAGGCCGAAGGCCGCCCAAGGCAGAAAACATGAGAATCCTGGCTGCCAAGAGGCTGGGGGAAGAAGTGCAGCTGATGAAGAATTTCTGTTTGCATACGGGAGAGAGACTTAAGTGCAGTTAAGTGCTTGCAGACACTCTTGCAGAGAAGGAGGAAGGCTGGGAGGGTGCAGATGCACCCTAACCTGGGCACCCGGAGAACATCATTAGGTTGGGGGTGGGGGGCACACCCCAGCGGGAAAGGCCAGGCTTCCCAGCCAAGATGTGACATCTGCGCTGGGGCTGGGAGGCTGGCCTCAGCAAGGTGGAGGCTGAGAAGGGTAGAGGAGGAAGGAGGGAGAGAAACTAGGGAAGGATCCCCAAGTGGAGCTGCCCTCAGCTTCTCAGTCAGCTCCAACCTGGAGCTGAGGGTCTGGATGGCCCCTTTGCCTCCAGATCTATGACTGCCTCCCCTTCTCAGAGCCTAAGCATGGCTATTGGATGCCCTCTGGAGGAAGGGCAAAGGCCGGTGGCCATGCTGACAATCAGAAAGGCTCCCGGTGGGGGTGCCTGGGAGGCTCAGGTAGTTAAGCATCTGCCTTCTGCTCAGGTTATGATCCCGGGCCTGAGATGGAGCCTGCTGCTTCTCCTTCCTCTGCCCCTGCCCTTCTTCTCTCTCTCAAATAAATAAATAAATAAAATCTTTTAAAAAAATGCTCGGGGTGTGCCAGCTGATTCCCCCAGTCTGAGAGTCCCCGCCTGCCCCCTCCATCCACCCAGGACTCCCATCTGGCTAGTTCCCATTCCCTAGTCCCAAGGCCAGGGTTGCTTTGGTGGCTTCAGTGCTCTTAGCCAGTCCCAACAGACTGAGAGTGGGGCTTAATAAGGGCCAGGAACCCCTTCCCAGTGCCTGGTTTCCAGGCAGTACCAGTCCAGGCCCAGGGTCTCCTCTCCTCTCCCTGCCCCACTGCTCTGTCCTCACTGCCATCATCACGGTCCCATAACGACAAGCCACATTGTACTCCCCAGCCCCGAGGGATCATCCAGCCACCAGCAACCCTCCCTGAGAGTATGGGCCTTCGCCCAGGCAGCCCAGAAAGGAAACAGATGTAGGGCAAGGCCAGGAATGAGGACAGTGGCAGGAGGAGGAGCTCTTGGGAACTACTGGCACCCACCCCTCCGCCCCAAGCACCAGGCACCCTTGACAGTAGTCACCTACACTTCCCTCAGGCTGAGGAAGACACTGGGTTTGCCTGGGGTGAGGGGTACATAAGACAACTCACTTCTTGCCTAGCTGCCGGGCGACGTCACAGCGCTGAAAGCCCTCAAGGTGGTAGAGGCGACGGGCCAGCCGGCGAGCAGCTTCACTGACCCCCTGGCACCCGTTGGCCAGCGGGTCTGTGCTGCCAGGCTCCAGACCCTCCGAGCTGCTAAGTTCTGAGTCCGAGTCTGAAAAGCCATCCTTTAGGCTGGGGTCACTGCATAAGGAAGGTAGGGGTGGAGAGAAGGGGTCAGAGGCCCAGGAGGGAGAGTGGGAGGTCTCCCCAGGCCTCTGAAAACCTACCCAGGGGCCAGAGTAGGGGAAGAAGCTCCATTGCACCAAGTCAGACTTTTAGAGGAGCCCCTCAATGAGATCACTAGAAGCTACACAATCCACACAGCACAGCTCCCTGGCCCCACTAGGGTTGGAAAGGGCTGGAAGAGCAGAATGGAACCTCAGGACCAGGGTGGGAAATCTGGGTGCAGAGGCAGGAAACAATGACCTTGCAGAGGGCCTATTCACTTTGGGCACTGAGTTACCCTAACCTGCTTTGTCTTCTGGGTCTGTTTCCCCATCTGCTCAACGGTTCTCCTGGTTCCCAGCCTAGGCTCTGCCTCACCTGGCTGAGTTCAGCAACTTGTCTGTGTCCTCCTTGTCCTCCTCCTCCTCCTCCTCCTCCTCCTCCTCGTCCCCACCTGGACCCTGGGGTCCATCTTCATGGAAGCCATTGGGCACGGCTGTGAGAGATAGGCGGCTCAGAACGTTCTCTGATCGGCTACTGGAGATGGAGCGCCTTAGGGGGCTGCCCAGCTCCCCATCACCACCAGCTGCTCCCATGTCCCCCTCAGGCCCCATTTCCCCAGTGCCCAAGCCAGCCCCTGGCTCAGGGCTATCGCGGGCCCGCTGCTGGATGAGGGGTGTCAGGGGGGCCTCGAAGCTGACGCAGCTGTCACTCTCATCCGTGAGGCTCAGCACGTCCAGGGAGTCAAGGCTGCTATACTGGGTGCCCCTCAGCAGCTCCGACTCCACAATCTTCTCAAACGTGGCACTGAAGCCATCCCGCACATCTGGCTCTCCAGGGCCACCCAGCCTGTGGAATGCAAGGACCAGTCACTATCCTGCCATGGGGACCCCTTTACATGTGGTAGGACTGCACCAATCCCATCTGGGAGCTCCATAGGGGCAGGAGCAGGCATGGATTGTGTCCTGTCTATTTTTTCAGCTAATACTTACTGAGCACTAGGTAGCAGGTGCTGGGCTGGGTACTAGGGTACAGCAATGACAAAGACAGGTGTGGTCCTACCCAATGCCCACCCTATACTTGGCCCATAGTAGGCAGCATTTGTCTAACTGAATGAATGGGAGGCGTCTTCCTCCACTGGGGCCGGGGGGCCACTGCCTCCAGGCTTCCCAGAGTAACATAGATATCCCCCATCACAACCACAGTAATGCTGAGTCAAAATTTTGCCATCCCCACAGCCTGAGAGGCTCTCAGCTTGGCCAACCACACCACGGCTCTCAGGCCTGGCCTTCACATCACCTTATCAGGGAACATGAGGAAGACAGGGGCACATCAGCTACCTTGCCAGTCCCCTCATTGTTCTCCATCCTCAGGGTATCTCCTCACTTCCTCCCAGCCCCCATCAGTGTATCATACTGTGTGTCCCCTGGTTAGCCATCTGTTCCCCAGTCCCACCCCCCAACCCCATCAAGGCCAGGGAACACCCAGCACACAGCTTAGTAAACTGTGCCGAATGGTGCACGAGGCGAACACACAGATGTCTGTCGGCCCCCTGGCGTACCACACTGCCAAGACCACAGCAAGGCCCTGTCCTGTTCCTGCAAGAGGCCTTTGAGCTGGCAGTTCCTGTGCCACAGTGCTCTTCCCAAGCTGAAGCTCTCTTTCCTCATTCCTTTCTTCCTGAGGTCTGCCCAGAACACCCTATTTATAACTGGGACCAGCCTCCAAACACCTCAGCCCTTTTTCCTACTTCATTTTTTCCAAAGCACTTACCCTCCTTCCCACATACTACATAATTATCACTTTTATGATTTATTATCTATCTCCCCTCTAGACCATAAGCTCCATGAGAGTAGGAATTTTTATGTATTCTGTTCACGGATATATCCATAGTACCTAGAATAAAGCATCACACAGAGATAAAACGAGGCAGCCCGGGAGGCTTCTTATGCACTGAGGAGATGGACAGGAAGCAGAGAAGACAGGTAAGGAGGAGGACACACTGAAACAGAGCAAGACCAAGAGAGATGGGGCAAAAGAGAGACAAGAATAAAGAGAGGGAGGGGAAGAAAAATAAGACAAGAAATAGATGAGAAAAAGAAACAGAAAGGAAGAGAGACAGAGAGAGAGAGAGACAGAAACAGAGACAGTGAGAGGAAGAGACACAAAGAAAGAAGCAGGGTGAGCCTCAGCCCACCCACTCTGGCTCATTTTGGATAAATCAAGGTCCACCATTTACAAAGATGTGCACCCCACTCTCCCACTGAGGATCAGAGACCCCCTGCTTCTCCTCAACCCCCACAGCCCAGGAGAGAGAAAGTTGTGTTAGGAGGACTGTGAAGTACCCCCTCCCCGCAAACACCTCCTTGGACCTCGGTCTAAGATGTGGTCCTAGTGTGTTCCCTGGAGAAGCATACTGACCTGAGAGAGATAAAGCTGGAGTCACAGCCAGCTGCCCTCTGCCCAGTTCCAGCAGGAGCTGACACCACAGCCTCAGTAGGCCTTCTCTTGCTGGAGAAGGAAGTGGAAATGGGGGGGGGGCAGGAATCTAAGTGGCAGGAAGCCTGGCAGTGTGCTGGGGTAGAGCTACCTCTGACCTCCAGGAAGAAGGCAGGGAAGAGAAGGGTCATTGTTCAAGTTACCAGAGCAGATGCCGAAATCTGCCCAGCAAAGGGACCTCTGTGAGGCCTGTGCTAGGTCTGAGATACCTGAATAATACTGATCTCTGCTCTTGGGAAGCTTTCATCTCATCCTCCCCTCACTATCTCCCACCCTGTCATGCACCTGAGCAGACCTGAGAGGTGGTTCTGAGAGGGGCTTGAAGACTATTAGCCCAATCTCCAAACTTCCATCTGCCCCTTCAGCCATCCCAAATAAACATGCCACCTAAACACAAACAGTATGCTCCAAGAAGCCCCAGACCTTTGTCTGCACCCCACTGCCAGCCCAGTGGCTGCCCTAGGACCTGTCTGGATGGAACACTCATGGCCATGGGATACGTGGTACACACAGGCACCTGACCTCACATACTCACATTCCTAGCCACAGAGCCAGCCACATTCAGCCCTAGACATGCAGACCCAAGTGTGTACCCATGAATGCACAAGCCAGGCACACACCACCCCTCCCCCCTCAACACACAACCACACAGACCCATGCACATCAAAATGTTCACACATTCCTATACCAAAACAATTCACAGGCCAGACATAAGTATGCATGCCACTTAGATTTCTGCCCACCTCCCCACCCCCACCATGCATGTCACCTATGCACACTTGCTTGTCCTGGCCAGGGCTTGCCACTGTACACACTAAAATTTTTATATACTTTCTTTTCTCAGTCCACCCTGAGGTCTTTTAGACATTCCCCTGTCCCATCTGTCCCCACCTTATCCAACGAGTACCTCCAAAACATCAGGTCTCTCTCCCTCCTGCTGAGGTTCATAGAAATGGCCCTGTAACTCCAGTAAATAGGACTGAAGTGAGATTCCTGGTAAGACCTCCAGAGGGCACTCAAGTGAGGGGTAGCTTGCAGGGATTAATTCACAAAGCCTACTCTTCTGAGGTCAGTTACAGAACTGGAAGATCTTCATCTCCATTGAAACAGAGGGATGGGCCAGATGACCTTCCACATCAAAGCATTTTGGAACTCTACTGCCCAATCTGGGATGGAGGGTATTTGGCCCTCCAACCACACACGGAAATAGCCCATGATGGTTTAGGGAGCTTTGGGGAGTGTGGGGGCACAACAGTCCCACTAGCCTTTGAATTCTAATGGCTCTATCCTTCTAAAACACCCAGAAGCTGGGAAAAACAGGGACAGGAAATTCTCAGGAGGAGGAAAACAAGAACCAAAGAGGCTACCTGGCTAGACCTAGGCCACATGGCATTGGAACAGCCAAATGTAGTGAGCCCCTAACCCAAGACACCCACTTACCCCAGCTGAGGATCCTCAGTGTCCAGACAGAGATTCCTGGGAGCATTGTCCCCCTCTGCCATCCCACCAACCCTCCAGGCCCTGGACTCTGCAGAATCTTCCAGAGTATTTGAGTCTGGCCCCAGGACTGGGCCATTGGTAAAGGAAAGGCCAAGGCTGAGGCCACGAAGGGCCATGTCTGGGCCCTGCATGGACTCCTCAGTGTCCACTAGAGTGCCCCTCATCTCATGCCCTGGGCTGTTATAGCTACTGTTCAGGTCCTGACTGTGTGTCATTCCATTCTGGACTCCAGGTTCTTCCTCATGCTCCAGGCTGGGGTCCCAGGCAGTACCACCTTCCCCAGATGGAAGCTTATCCTCTTCCATGGCAGCCACTGCTTCCTCCCTGTGTTGAATGTTCCTAGGACTCCCCACGACCTGAAGGCAAATGAAGAGATGAAGAGGTGAGTAGGGCAGGTGCTGAGAGGTGGAAAGCCCAGCAGCACCAGTACCAGGCAGCCTGCCTGGGGACAGGAGGATGGTGGAGATAATCTTCTCAGGACCTCCTAGCTGGAATATGGGTTCAGGCTGTGGCATCCTCAGGCAGTGGCCCTGCTCAGGCCAGCCCCACTCACTTCTTCCTTGACCTGCAGTCACACTTGTGTGCCCCAGTCCTGCCTTCCTGTTACCTCTTAGGTGTCTCTGTTGTGCCTTCAAGAATCCACCAAAACTTTGTGATAAAAATCCAGGTTAGGAGGAACTAGGGAAGGGTCTAGGACCTCTCCAAACCCTGTCCCTTTCCTGCTGGTGTATGAGGTAGACAAAACTTCAGGCTGACAGCAGCCAGTCCCCTTGTCTCTTTCCATGTTCTCATCCTGACTCCAGGAGCCAGACAAGAATGAATCTGTGGGTAAATGGAGGGAAATGAGTGGGGGATGCCTTTAAAGGGAGATTTAAGAGAGGAGGCAACGAAGCCAATGAAGTGCAGCTTCATCAAAACCAGACTCCAGCCCAGAGAAACCAACCTGCAGCCCCCGGGGCCACCATCCCCAGGCCCAGAGTGAGGCGCTGTCCAGGGTGCTAGGCGGGTGAGGTACCACCCTGGACCATCACCTAGAGTCAGCCTACCTTAGCTGCCAGGCACCCAAAGTCCTGGCTTGGCAAGGAGAACAGAGGAGGGAGCCTGGGGTTCTCCCCCTTAAGGGCACCCCCAGAGCTTGCCCAGCCTTGAGGAGGGATGCCATGAAGCATTCTGGGGAGAGCACCGGAAGGGGAGCTGGGCCCTGTTCTGCCCAACTCACTGTGTGACCCCATGTGGGTCCAGGTTGGGCCTCCTTGCCTCCCCTGCCAGACTACCCCCACTCCCTTCTGCACTGCTTTCGGTCTTTACCTCCTCTTAAAATGAGATCCATTTTACCTGCCATCTCCACCCCTGCCCCCTTTTAAAACAGATCAAAACCAGCCCACATTTCTGAGAGGCTTCCTGCCTGATCTAATTCCAGATGAGAGGACAGGTGCAATGGGCTGCATTCTGGCTCCCCCCAACCTTCTCTCTCTCTCTCTCTCTGTCCCTGGCCCCACCCAGTGTAGGCTATTTCTGCATCACTCCACCTCACCCATGACTTTTGTGACCAAGGATACAGACCAGCCCCTCCAAACAACTTCCTTCCTTCCTTCCTTTTTTGGGTCTCAGCTTCCCCTAAATCCCCCAGGCTCTTCTGAAGAAAGGGTCTGGAGGGTTCAGGAGAGTCTGGAGGAGAGGAACTGGTCAGCCTTCTGGGCTGCAGCAGAACAAGTTGCAAGCACAGCAATAAGAATTTAAGTGAGACCCATCCTGCCTATTCTTGCTTGGTCTTAAGTGTCACCTGAGGGACTTGATAAAATAGATTATGAGGCCTTCCCCCAAACCTCCTAAACCAGAGTCTACAGGGATCAGATATAGTAATCTGTTATTCTTTTAAATGTTTGGGAAACAAGGAGTTAGACTCCAAGAGGAGCTTCCCATTTAGAGAAATGAGCCTGGATAGGAAGGTCAATCTACTCCTCTGGGGACTTCCAGGCCCTTGAGGGGAGATCTGCTATCACTGGACCACTTGAAGATTCATTTAAACCTCAGTTTTCACATATGGAGAAAAGAGGGCAGGATAGACAGGGATCTGGGGCCTCAGCCCACCCACCCTGAGCATTAATCCTTGGGTTTTGAAGACTGCACGAGTATAAGATTTTACTTAAAAAACAACAAAAACAAAACACAAGAAAACAATGACAACAAAAAACTTCTACAAATTAAAAAAAAATGTAAAGAACCAGTGAGAGAATATCTGGGCCTGGATCCTAGGACACCGGGGACCCCAAGGGGCTCAGCACTATGTGAGGGTTTCTTTCTGGTCTGCCCTAAATCCCTGCTGCTGCAGTTGCTATTTCAATCTGTTCCCTCCGGTTATGGACTCAGAGGGGGAAGAACAGGAGGTCATCTCCTCAATTGAGACTTCTTGGGGGTGGGGAGGAGCATTTCTAAAGGAAAGAGGAGGGAGAATGGGTATTTTTGGCTTGCTGCCTGAGTTCTAGTCCTCTGGCCTGATTTCTAGTCCAGGGAACTGGATGCCCATTGGATCTGGGGCACAGGACTCCAACCCAACTCCACCAGGGTGCCTCAAGCTCCCACACCCACACATGGAAGCCAAGCCTGGCAGGACGGAGTGCCTCCCCTTTGGTCAGGGCTCCGTCTGAGGTTACAGTGAAGCCTGAGATTTGAAAGCATAAGCGGGGGGATCCCTGGGTGGCTCAGTGGTTTGGCGCCTGCCTTTGGCCCAGGGCACCGTCCTGGAGTCCCAGGATCAAGTCCCGCGTCAAGCTCCCAGCATGGAGCCTGCTTCTCCCTCTGCCTCTCTCTCTCTCTCTCTGTCTCTCGTGAATAAATAAAACATTTTTTTAAAAAATGAAAGCATAAGCGGTTTCCCCATATGCCCATTCTCCACCAACCCCAAACCAAGGTTATGAACAAATGAAGGACATCTTGGGAGGCCCCGACCTCATCCCTCAACTTCCAGCAGCTGCCTCGGGCTGGCTCCAGCCTTACCTGCCCTGCCTTGTCCTCCTGCAGCTGAGAATGGAATAGAGGTTCTGCCAACACCGGGCACTGGGTCGTGTCCTCAGTTTCTGGGGGTGGGCAGACAAGGGGCAGCATTGAGCTCCACTCTGGGCAGGGGGCCCAGAGTCCTTGCCTGGGCTGAGGGCCAGCTGAGCCCAGTAATAGCTGAGCCAGGACACCCCCTCTCTTTCTGAGCCCAAAAGAGAGATGCATAAAGGGGGGCTTCAGGTCAGAGATATGAAACAATACCCTAAAATTCCACTCTGAACCATCATGGGCCCTGAGATGTATCACTGTCTTTGGCCTTTATGAACCCATCTGCACCATGGGAGCATCACCTCTGCTCTCCTTCTCCAGGGTTGGTGGGAGAACTTGAGGTCATGAATGTAAAGAAAGCAGAAGTCCAAGGAAGAACAAACTGGTAGAGATCAAGGGAAAAGGCAGCTACAGTCTACTCTTTCCACCACTGCATTTGACAAATGGGGATACTGAGGTACAGAACCAGGAAAGGCTGTGCCCAAGGTCACACAGTTGAAGAGCTGGCTCTAGAACTCAGGAACAGCTTCTTTCTGTACCTGGATGGACTGGAGGTACAGAATGAGGCCCCAGTTTCCCATGCCCTCTGTCAGGTCCTCCCATAAAATCAGGGGCTCAAATCTTCAACCAGGAGACTCTACCCAAAACAGTGACCCAGCCCCCTCCAGCCTTGGTGCAAGAGCAAGAGAGGAAGTACAGCTGGGCCACAGGGCACTGATCCTAAGAAGCCTACAAATGACAGGCTGGCACTGGTTAGATCCCCTGCATTCTCTCTCAGCATAAGCCAGGCCCTGCTCCATGCAGGGGCTCCTGCTACCCATTGCCCTTGAGAGGACCTTGGGTTCAGTGACATCTTTTTCAGCTCCAACTAAGGTGGACCCGTGATGATAATGGAACGCTGGCAGGGCCAGGGCTAAATGCCAAACTAGTCACTTTCCGGGTCTCAGCTCTTTCAAGACAACCTTGTCCCCCTCCTCACTCTCCCCATGGCAGCTAGTATGAACTGGGAACACACAAATCACATTAACTTTCTCTCACTCATAACTCTCCAATAGGTCCCACTGCCCTTCGATGATAATTCATTCTCCTTAGCATGGCCTAAAAAGGCCTTGTCTAAGCTGGTTCACTGCCCTCTCCCCATCCCCCACCCCATCAGCCACAATGGCCTTCTTTCTGCTCCCTGAGCTCATTCCCACCTCAGGGCCTTTGCACCAGCTGTACCCTTGGCCTAGAATGCTCTTTCCCTAGATCTCTAAATGACTGCCTCTCCTGTCAGGGCTCAACTCCAATGCCGCCTCCTCAGAGAGGCCCTCTCTCACCACCCTGCACTCTCACACTCCTCCACCGAGCATCGGACCTGCTAAGCATCACTTAGCAGAACTGAAACTCCCTTTTCTATTTGCTTCCTTATTTCCTGCCCATCTCCCTCAGTAGGATGTCAGTTCAAGAGGGTGAGGGCTAGGTCACATTCACCATCTCCCCCAGAGCCCAACACCAAGTCTGGCAAATAGTGGGCACTGTTTTAAATATTTGATGAATAACCTGGGGATTATTATCATCATCACTGTTGTAGGCAGGAGCCAAGCAAGATTGAGGAAGATGCTTAGGGTTGCAAGGCTGGAAAGTGGCAAGGCTGAGATTCTGCTTGGAACGACATTGGATTGTCGTAGAAGTACCTTGTATGGTGACTTCCATGCAGAGATCCAAGCGAGGGACTGTGGGAAGCCCAAGGAAAGGTCTGGAGAAGGGGGCCCAGCAAGGAGGGTTCCAGGGCCCGATACGCTCTATAAGACAGAGGGGAGAGGGCATGGGTACTGATGCCTGTGTGCATGTCTGTGAGCAAGTATATGGTGCAGGCATTTCTGGGCACATACAACATGCATGCATGCACATGCACACACACACACACACACACAAAGGGAGCTGGGCAGCCACTCATGAGGCAGACCCCTAGGTGATGGAGTAGAGATGAGGAGCCTACAGGCCAAGGGGCAAGGTTCAGGCCAGATAGCCCAACATCAGTGAGCCGCTGGGATTAAAATCATTCTGCTTCAGGAGAAGCCAGGAGCAAGAAAGGGACAACTCAGTGCTCCACTGGGGAAGATAGGCACCCCCAGTCAGCACAGTCACACCTGGTAGCATCAGATGGCCAGGTGGGTTTGAGAGGAGATGGGGGAATACAGGTCCACGAGGTGGAAATGGGGAAACAGGATGCAGAGCTGAGATGGGGAACCCATGGTACTGGGTACTACCCAGGACAGGCAAAATCTAAGAGCCTGTGGGATGTCCAAGGGGGGGGCAGTGGGATCAGAGAAAAATCATTCTGGGTGTCATTATAGAGGCAAATCTGAGACTTGGGTTTAGCTTCCAATGTGCTAGCAGAGTTTGGACAAATGAAGCCCCTCTCTGGCCTCATTTCCCCATATCATATATGTTCGAGATTTCTAACTAGGAATTTCCAAGTCAGACTTTGGGCCTTTGATGGTGCTGCAGATCCCACCCAGACTCTCACATATGTGCACAACATTTTGAGTATTTTTGATAGGCTCAGGGACCCCTAAAGCCCATCCATATGCCTTGGGCATGAACTCCACAAATGGGACAGTCTTCAAAGACCTCCCACGTCTAACACTGGACAGTTGCAGAGAGTTCCATAAGGGCTTCTTGCAAGACAAAGAAAATGCTGGAAGCCTTTCATTGTCAGAGCTATTCCCTGCCCCTTGGGAGCCCATTCTGGACACCCTTATCAATCCCACTGCCCTTCCCCAAATTCCTACTATGCAGACTTCCTTAGCACATGGGCTGGGATTATCACACACACACACACACACACACACACACACACACAAATAGTTAAATAAGATGATCAGTGAAAAGAGCTGGCATGTAGTGAGTGCTCAGAATAGACTTGGGCCAGGTATACCCCACACCATTCGCAGGGCCCAGGTTAGGCTCCAGGACACTCCAGGAAAGTGCCAGACCACTGACACCAAGGACAGCAGGAAGTTCACAGGCAGACCCCTCGGTGGGACCCCGGCCCCCCATGCTCTCCATACTCCCCCAAAGTCTCTGCCAGCCAAGGAGCCTTGAGGTCAGAGCTCTAAGCACTGTCTCTAGGCACAGACCAGTCGGGGTGCGTGTCTGCCTCTTCAATGTCCCCAACTACTCAGGGCAGAGGGTGTAACTGGGAGAATATAAAGGGGTTGTCTACCCAGGAGCCTTGGGAACTTCCCTGCCTCCATTCCCCAAGGTGACCCTAATCCCACCAAACCCACTTGGTCTTCCTATCTTGGAGCACCTCATACAGCAACCAGTGCCTCAAACTGGGAGTCCAGGACAGTGAGTCAGTGTCCTAACTGTACAGTCGGAGAGGCTTGCCTTCATATCCCAGCTCTGCTACTCACCAGTTGTGTCACCTCAAGAAAGTTGCCTAAAGTTGGACTGAAGGAAGTGGTGTGGATGCAGTGCTCAGCCCAGAGCTGGGCACAGTGCTCAGGGAAGGGCAGCAGCTCTTGCTTCCCAGAACCCTTCTCAGGCCTGCAGGGGGAAGGGCTGGCTACCCACACTGGGGATGGAATGCACAGGAGAGAAGCACAGGACATTCAGTGGGCCCTGCAGACATTTGTCCATGGCAGGCTGTCAAGTGGCTTCTGAGGCAAGGGCTTCAGGGGCCCAGCCTGAGGATAGAAGCAGGAGAAAGGCACCCTTGGGGCCCAGAAGGTGGGCCAGAGAGAGTGCCCTACCCTTTCCTGAGGCAGATGGGGACCCTAACAGTCCTGACCCCACCAACACTCCCACTTCCACCGCAAGTCAGTCTCCCTCCTAGTTTCCATCTCAAGGGAGAAGAGAAACACTAGTTACAGGACAAGGGCCAGGGCCCTGGGCTTCCCTTCAAAAGTTCCTGAAGGCCCAAGCCCTTCAGGTGGTACCAAACCAGAGGCTAGTATGGAGCCCAGCATCACGCCGCTTTCTTATGCTCAGTTTGGCCCTTGGAGAACCAAGCTTTGCCTTGGGTCATAGGCATCTGGAAGGCCTTCTCTTTCTCACAGTTGAGGAGACAGAGGTCCCCAGGGCTGGGTGCACATTTGCATCTTCTCTGCATGTACTCTTCAGCCTGCTGGGACTTTCAGGGCCCCTGGGCCCAATTCTGCAAAGGTCATTCCTTGACATCTTCTGACTTGATTCTCTCCCTACCCCCAGCACTTGGCACCTTCCTTTGCTTAGTATTTGCATACATGGGCATGCTGGTTTGGAGGGCTTTCAACACTGCTGAAACTCATGTCTGCTGTCAAATCCCAAATCATGTTTATAGCTGGGGACTCTACCCCCAGCTGACTTCCCTACAGGGAAGCTATCTGGAACCACAAGGGAGTAGGCTGTTCTGGTTAAGTGACCATCCATTTCTCTGTTTTCCTGGAGCTTCATATGGTACCTGGGACTCATTCTGCTTCTTGAGCACCATTTGACTCATGAGCTACCCTCCAGTCTGGCTCAACAGTCAAGAGAGATGAACCAAGAAATTTAATCCTCCCTTCTGCCCAAGTTTTACTTATCCCCTACTCCCAAGATCTTCACCTTCTCTGCCCCCGAACCCCCAAAACCCCTCTACCTTTCTGCATCCTCCCCTATGACCTTTCCCCCAACCCCTCTCCAACCTCTTAATGCCGTTGCTCTACTTAACCCCACCTCTGAAGGGTACTCCCTCATCCCCTCACCCCCTGCTCACTCTTGTCTCTGCTTTAGGACTTCAGCAAAGGGTTGTGGTCTCCTTGAGGCTGGACAAAGCCAGCATGTGTGAAATAGGCTATAGTGAGCCATTCCCCTATTGCTACCCTGTCCCCATCTTTGAGGGAGTCCCTCATAATCAGCCATAGCCCACTGACAGAAGATCTGGTGCCTGGTAAAAGCCTCATCCCTTGATGCACAGTATGCAGGGTAGGAGAGAAAGAGAGGAATCAGGAATGACAACAGCATTTGGGCCCTGAGCACCTAGAAGGATGGAGCTGGCATTCCTGAGATGGGAAAAACCAGGTGGACCAGGTCTGGGGAGGAAGATCGGGAGCTCAGCTTTGGAAAAGTTGAGTTTGAAGTGTCTAGTAAGGCGTGACAGTTGAGATGCTATAAAAAAGTTACTGAAGGGCAGCCAGGGTGGCTCAGCGGTTTAGTGCCGCCTTCAGCCCAGGGCCTGATCCTGGAGACCCAGGATCGAGTCCCACATCAGGCTCCTGCATGGAGTCTGCTTCTCCCTCTGCCTCTCTCTCTCCCTCTCTGTGTCTCGAATGAATGAATGAATGAATGAATGAATGAATAAATAAATAAATAAATAAATAAATAAATATCTCTAAAAAAAAAAAACAACCTACTGAAGTTCAGGACAGAGTTCAAAATTGGGGGTATAAATGTGGAAACTGACAGCATATAAGTAGGTGTACTTAAAACCAGAGGACTGGACAAGATGGGCACAGTAGTGAACGCAGATGAGGAGGGCCAGCTGTACAAGGGCCGAGTCCTGGGACCAATGTTCAGAGATGGAGACAGGATGTGGATGGGGGCAGAAGAACACTGAGTAGGATCAACCACAAGGCCAGAGGAAAACAGAAGATGTCCTGCAAAGAGAGTATTTCAAAAATTGGGAGAAACTGAAGGTGTCAGGTGCTTCAGATGAGGACTGAGACTTGGCCCCTGAGTGTAGTAGCATGGAGGCCAGTGGGGACCTTGAGAAGAGCTGTTGGTAGAAGGGGGTGAAAGCCCAGCTGGAGTGCAGTCAGGAGAGAGGGGGAGGAGAGGACCAGGAGAGGAGTCCAGACAACCCTTCTGGGGAGTTTTGCTATGAAGCAGAGCAGAGACTCAGTGGTAGCTAGATGGAGAACATAGGAGAGCCATCTTGTAAGACAAGAGAAGCAATAGCAAGTATCTGCTGGTGGAACAATCTAAGTACAAGAGGAACTTATAAAGCAGGAGGGAACTAGCTAGAGCAACGGCTTCAAGCAGACCTAAAGGGACAGGATCTAGTGCACAAGTAGAGGGGTAGACTTAACCAGGAACAGGAACACTTCACCCCCAGCAACAGGAGAGAGGCAGAGCCGCAGGTGCTGGTAGATGGGTGAATGTAACACTGGGAATCTGAGAAAAGTCATGACTGCTTCTATTTTCTCGAAAAGTAGGAAGCAGTATTATCAGCTGAGACGCAGTGGGAAAGAGGGGCAAGGAGCAAGGGTAGAAGACAAAGTGTGAACTAGCCAGTAGGGGAAGAAGAGATGGGACTCAGGACCCATGGTGGGGATGCAGGAGAGTACTAAGGACCCACATGAAGTTCACAGTTTTGAAGTTCAAGTGAGACCAATCAGGGTGGTGGTTTTGCTTAGCCCCATTCAGCTGCACAGGTACAGATGTGTGGGCTAGGTATTGTGTCTAACCAGGGTCAGGGTTCCCCAAGCAAGTATGAAGAAGCAAATGAGGAAAGGGAGTTGGGTGTCTGCAAAGGAAGGATTATCCTGGGTTTTATAGTGGTCCCCAGCCCGTGCTCACACTCCCTGCCCTGCTGGTGCCTGAAAGCTCACCACCTGTTCCCTGCTGTAAGTCACGAGTGGCCTTCCCTCTGCCCTCATCCCAAAGTGAACTTCTGAGAGGATGGCCACAGGTGGCCACTAACACCTGAGAAACGAGCTTCCTGCACACTGTTCCTCTAACCTGGAAAGTAACATGGATCTCACACACTCAAAACTGCATTCCCCATCACCTTTCCCAGGCCATCGCAAGATATCTCCCCACCTCTAGTTGGACA